AGCTTTGGCTACTCGGACTACTTGGGCTACTTGGGTCAACCGAGTTAGGGACACTCCTCGCACACGCACTGCTTCAGGTGAGGATGTTGGCGAGAGACCTGGGGAGTTAGGATACTGTTGTCGTTGGTGGCCCAAGTGGTTCGGATGAGGCTTCCGTAGGAAGCCCCAAGGAATTAGTAGCAGATATTCGCTGGGGGACCAGGGAGTTCAAATGAGGATTGCTGTGAAGAGCCCGAGGAGTTCGGATAAGGTTGTCGCCAGTGGCCCAAGGCATTCGGATAAGGTTGTCGTGGGGTAGGGGGGGAGGAGTTAGGATAAGATGTACGCTGGGAGACCGAGGAGGTCAAATGATGATTTTCGTGAAGAGCCCGTGGAGTGAGGAAAAGCTGTTTCGTTGGTGGTCCAAGGCGTTGGGATAAGGTTTCGCAGGGGGCGCAGGGAGTTAGGGCAAGGTGTTCGTTCGGGGCCCAGGGAGCTCAGGTGAGGGCTTTGGCGAGGAGCTCGAAGAGTTAGGATAAGGGCGAGGAGCTCGAAGAGTTAGGATAAGGGCGAGGAGCTCGAAGAGTTAGGATAAGGTGTTCGTCGATGGCCCAAAGCGTTAGGATAAGGTTTTTTTTCGCAGGGGGGGTCAGGTGTCAGGATGAGGTCCTCGCGGGGGGGCCGAGGGGGTCCAGGTGGTAATTTTCACGAGGGGCCCGTGGAGGTAGGAGAAGGTGTTGGCGAGTGGCCCGAGGCGTCGGGAGAAGTTTTTCGCGCGGGTGCCACGGAATTAGGATTAAGTCGGGCTTGTCCCTCTAGAGGAGGAGTATTCAAACATAGTCCAAAAATAGTCTGGGGACGATTTTTGATTATTTTTGAATATTTTTTATAATTTCTGTTTTTTTTATTTGTTCGTTCAAGGTCCGCCTGTAGGGGGACACGCCCGACCTGAATTTAGGACCAGGCTTTTGCTGGGGCCCATGGAATTCAGATGGGGAATTTCGTGCGGATCTCTTCGTCAGTGGCCCAAGGCGTTAGGGCAAGATTTCCACCGGAAGCCCGACGAGTTAGGATAAGGCTTTCGTTCGTTGCCCATGGCGTTCGGAGGATCAGGTTTTTCCCCAATCAGGGCTTGCACTGAAGGGGTCCTCGCGGAAATTGAAAGGTTCCCGGGTTCCCGGTTCCGGGTTCCTGGGTTCCTGGGTTCCCGGTTCCGGGGTCTGGGCCGACTTCAGAGGGCGGCGAGGTTCCGGGGTCGATTTTCTCATCGATCGGTCTCACCATCGATCTCATTACCAATTTCTCTTTCGATCTCACAATCAGTCTCACTATCGATCTCACAAGCGATCTCACTAGCGATCGCATGGGCGATCTCGCGATCGATCTCACTATCGATCTCATTGAATCGATTTCACTCTCGTTCCCACGATCGACCTTACAATCGTCCTCACGATCGATTGCACTATCGATCTCATTATCGATCTCACAATTGATCTCAAGATCCAGAGTCTTAATTTTCAAATCATCCACTGGTTGGGTTTTCTCAGGTGTAATTTGGAGCCTGAGGACGTAGGACACATGGTTTCTGCTACCACGGAGTTCATGAAGAGCCCGACGCATTAGGATCAGGTTTTCGTTAGTGGCCCAAGGCGTCGGGTTAGGGATTTCGCAGGGCGCCCAAGGAGCTAGGATAAGGCTTTCCTGGAAGCCCCAGGCGTTAGGGCAATGTTTTCGCTGGGAGCCCAAGGGGTTCCCAAGGGCGTTAGGATGAGGTTTTCTCAGGGAACCCGAGGCGTTCTTATGAAGATTTAACAGGGGGCCCGAGAAGTTGGGATGAGCTTTTTCGTTCGTGGCCCAAGGCGTTAGGGAAAGGTTTCCGCATGGGGCCCAAAGAGTTATGCCCGAGGAGTAATGATGAAGTCTTCTTTTGTTGCCCACGGCAGTAGGAGAAGGTTCACGCAGGGAGCCCAAGGAATTGGGATAAGGTTTTTTCGCCTGGAGCCCAAGGACTCAGGACGATGGTTTGCGCGGGGAGCCCACGGAGTTCAGACGAGATTCTCGCGGGGAGCCCGGATTTTTCAGGATAACTTTCTCGGCAGCGGCCCAGGGCGCGAGGATATCCCCTTCCGCTCGTCCTCCTCCTCCTCCTCCTCCTCCTCCTCCTCATCCTCATCCTCATTCTCCTCCTCCTCCTCCTCCTCCTCCTCCTCCTCCTCCTCCTCCCTCCTCCTCATTCTCCTCCTCCTCCTGCTCCTCCTCCCCCGAGGAGTTATGGCAGCATCTTCGCCGAGAGCCCAAGGGTTCCAGATGGGGATTTTCGCGGGAAGCCCCAGGTTTTAGGATGATGTCTGGCTTCGCGGCCCGACGCGCTAGGGTAAGGTCTGCGTCGGGGGGGGCGGGGGAGGGGCGAGGAGGAGCTAGGACGAGATTTGCGCGGGGAGCCCAAGGAGTTCAAATGGTGAGTTTCGTGGAGGGCCGGGGACTTAGGATAAACTCTTCGCTAGTGGCCCAAAGCATATGGGGCTAGAGGAGTTGAGACGGGGCCTTTCGCGAGGAGCCCGAGGGGCCAGGATGGTTTTTTTGTTGGGGGATCCAGGGCAGTAGGATAAGTTTTCGCAGGGTGCCCAAGGAGTTCGGTTATGAGGCTCTCGCTGGAGCCCAAACCCCCTCCCCCCCCTTCCCCCGCGTAGGGCAGGTTCGTGTCGTGTCGACCGGCGGCGACCCCCGCCAGCGGAGTTTCACGTTGCACGCCGCGGGCGACCGAGAATCGTTCGATGTGGAACGATGTGGACGTTTCGGGAACGACCGATCGTTCAAGGAGGAGGAGGAGGAGGCGGAGAGGGAGGAGGAGGAGAGGGAGGAGGAGGAGGAGGAGGAGGAGGAGGAGGAGGAGGAGGCCGCAGGAACCAACGCCGGGGTCGACACGACACGGACCTGCCGTGGCGGAGTGCCGCCACCGGTTGGGCTCAAGTTTGCCCACCGCAGGCGGGAGAGGCAGCGGCCTCGCGCTCACTACTTGAGAGGCTGTCCAGGCGATTGCTGGTCTTCGCCCGTGAGGCCCATGGCCGCTGCAGCGTGCAGCATGGTCGCGCCAAAGCATCGCATCAGGGCACTTTTCTTTTAGGGTTCCGACGATCACCCGGGTTGTCGGGCTTGCCCCTTCTCTCCCCCCCCCAGGATAACCTGACCTTGCCGGCCGTGCAGGTCCGGGGTGGGGGGGCGCGGGCATGTGCAGGGCCGCCCACAGCGCGATGGTGAGGTTATCGGCCGGCCCCTTCCCCCCCCCCCACGGATAGCCCGGGTTTTCGCCGATTTAAAAAGATTATGCTAACGGAGTTCCCCACATAAAGATATTAACGTTTCGTGGGACCCATGGGGTACGACAACATCAGCACGAAGGAGAAGCTCATCGAACGAGTAAGTACGCACGAAAGGACAGACGAAAGAAAAGAGGAGGGAGGACAGGTGCTCAGGAAACGAAGCCTTGTAAATAGTACGGTTTCTTGATACCCTCCTCGCTCTGGCGGGGCCCCCCTGGAAGGGGGGGAGGGCTACGAAACCTGGTAAACAGTCATGCTTTCCGCGACCCTCCTCGTTCAAGCGCGGCCTCCCTGGAGGAGTGGAGGGGGGACACGAAACCATGTAAATAGTTTGGGTTTCCGATACCCTCCTCGCTCAGGCGGGGCTTCCCTGGAGAGGTGGGAAGGGCACGAAACCATGTAAATAGTATGGGTTTCCGATACCCTCCTCGCTCAGACGGGGCTTCCCTGGAGGGGTGGGAGGAGCACGAAACCATGTAAATAGTATGGGTTTCCGATACCCTCCTCGCTCAGGCGGGGCCTCTCTGGAGGGGTGGAAGGGGCACGAAACCATGTAAATAGTATGGGTTTCCGATACCCTCCTCGCTCAGGCGGGGCCTCCCTGGAGGGGAGGGAGGGGCACGAAACATTGTAAATAGTATGGGTTTCCGACACCCTCCTCGCTCAGACGGGGCCTCCCTGCACGGGTGGGAGGGGCACGAAACCATGTAAATAGTATGGGTTTCCGATACCCTCCTCGCTCAGGCGGGGCCTCCCTGGAGTGGTGGGAGGGGCACGAAACATTGTAAATAGTAGTGGTTTCTGATACCCTCCTCGCTCAGGCGGGGCCTCCCTGGAGGGGTGGGAGGGGCACGAAACCATGTAAATGGTATGGGTTTCCGACACCCTCCTCGCTCAGACGGGGCCTCCCTGGAGGGGTGGGAGGAGCACGAAACCATGTAAATAGTATAGGGTTTCCGATACCCTCCTCGCTCAGGCGGGGCCTCCCTGGAGGGGTGGGAGGAGCACGAAACCATGTAAATAGTATGGGTTTCCGATACCCTCCTCGGTCAGGCGGGGCCTCCCTGGAGGGGAGGGAGGGGCACGAAACCATGCAAATACTATGGGTTTCCGATACCCTCCTCGTTCAGGCGGGGCCTCCCTGGAGGGGCGGGAGGGGTACGGAACCATGTAAATAGTGTGGTATTCCGATACCCTCCTCGCTCTTGCGGGTATGGTATGGTAAGGTATGTATGGTATGGCATTGTACGGGTAGTTTGGTATGGTAGTGTATGGTATGTGTGGTATGGTATTGTATCGTATGGTAGGTATGCTACTGTATGGTAGGTATGGTGTGGTATTGTATGGTAGGTATGGTATGGTATGGTGTGGTATGGTATGGTATGGTACGTATGCTATAGAGTATGGTTAGTATGGTATGGTATTGTTCGGTATTGTGTGGTATGTATGGTATGGTAAGGTGTGGTATGGCATGGTAGGCATGGTGTGGTGTTGTTTGGTAGTGTGTGGTATGTATGGTATGGTCTGGTCTGGTCAGGTCTGGTCTGGTCTGGTCTGGTATGACATGGCATGGCATGGCATGGTATGGTATGGTAGGTGTGGTATGGCATGGAATGGCAGGCATGGTATGATATGGGAGGCTGGAATGGTAGGCGTGGTATCGATACGGGAGGCGGGAGGCGGGAGGGAGAAGGAGAGGATGTCCTGGGAAAGCAAGAACCCCACTCAGGATGTGAGGAAAAGTGGTCTCCAGCTCTCTCGATGGGCGACAGCAGGCGCCGCCTTTGACGTCGCCAGCCTCGGTTGCGGAGTGCATGGACGCGCCCTGCGCCGCGCCGGCCCCGACAGTGCCCGCCGTGCCCGAGAGCCCCAGGAGGACGATTGGGGAAAAGGTCACGGGACGAAATTGCCGCCGCGAAGGAGGCGCACACCAAGCGTAATATGACTGAGGCTTCACAATTGCTGGAATCTTATTTCATTGTCGACGAGCTCGAGTCCTGGAGGCGCGAGTGGATTTGCAGTCATTGCAAGGAGTTCGCCGGCAAGCAGTTCGCAGCGTTTGCAACGCAACGCCCGCTGCATCGCTGCATGGGGATTTCTGAGAATGGCGATCGCCCCTCCTGCAAACCACGTGTCTCCGCCTCAGCTCCCTTGTCCGCTCGGCCCAGGGTTTGCGAGTTGCACGGCCACCCTCCGCTGCCCGATTCTCTCCAGGCGGCGCCGACCCAGTCGGGAGATGCCCAGAAGCAGTTGATGTTCCCGGCGGTCCTGGAGCCGTCGCTGCACGAGAACCTGCACGGGAGCGTGGATCAGTGCAGTAATGTTAAGTCGGGCCCTATCTTTCTAGAGGAGGAATGTTCAAACATAGTCAAACAATAGTTTTGGGGGGAACTTTAGATTATTGTTGAGCATGTTGGGAACACTTCGGGAGTATGTTTTGTTATTTTTCGCCCGAGCTCCCCCTGTAGGGGGACACGCCCGATCTAACAGTAATGTTATTCTCCCCAGACGCATTTTTTTGTGTCCTCGGCGGCGGCGGGCGCTGGCGCGCCTCGGCGAGCCGTGAAGCCGAGGCCACGCGCACGGTTGAGGGCCGGAGCAGGGGCCGCTGGGAGGGGGGCAGCTCAGCGAAAGCGTCGGAGGAGCGCTCGCGGAATTCAGCTTGGAAGTTTTTGTTCGTGGTGTGCGCATGTTCTGTGCTTTCCATGGGGTTCCTGCACGGTTGAGGGCCAGAGAAGGGGCCGCTAGGAGGGGGGCAGCTCAGCGAAAGCGTCGGAGGAGTGCTCGCGGAATTCTGCTTGGAAGTTTTTGTTCGTGGTGTGCGCATGTTCTGTGCTTTCCATGGGGTTCCTGGGCCGTGCACTATATAAGTGGCCTCGAGCCACTCTTGGTGTACAGTCGGCTCGGATCAGTAGGTCGGCCCTGCCAGCTCAAGGGTATCTTTTTGTTTGGCCTGTGCCTCGCGACCCATGCTTCCTACATTGCTGTGGCAATGTGACCCTTGGAAGGGTCTTGCTTCCTCTCGCGCGTCCTCTCCACTGAAGTCCGACTGCACGCCCATGTGCTTTTGTTCAATGGTTTTCGAGTGCGCCGCAGCTCTGCGCCGCCAGGCAGGTTCGCTCGGCGGGGCGCCGGACGGCTCCTCGGCTCGCCAGGGGGCGCGCCCCTGGGGGTTGTCGCCCCCGCGTTCCCATGCTTGGCGTTGGCCCCTGCGGGGCGCGCGCTGCACCAGACCTTTACACAGGCAACGCCAAAAACGGATTCCCGAATCCAAAGGCCAAGAGAAAGACTGCTGAGAAGGAGAGGTCTCGGCACCTCTCGGGTCCTCCGGCAGCTCCACGAGTGCCGCCACTTGGCAGCGCTGGCTCAGAGGAGGCCTCTGAGGCCCAGGCGGCGTGCGGTTGTCAACCCTCTCGTCAGCCTGGTAGCTTTCGCGCGTCTTCGCTGACTGTTGCACCGAGCCTGCTCCAGTGAACAAAAAAAAAACTCCTCCCGCCCACGAGTCGGCGCCGAGCCGCCGCCCGGCGCGCGCGAGAGTCTCGAATTCGGCGGCGCGTCGGCCCGCTGCCCCCCTGGTGGGTTGCTTTCTGTGCGGGCGGCGGGCGGAGGCGCACGCGCGCGCGCGCTCCCGGAAGGGTCCGGCAGCTCGCGGCGCAGAAATAGGCGAGGCGGGGGGAGGGGAGGAAAAGGGGGGAGGGAGAGGGAGAGGGAGAGGAGGGGAGGAGAAGGGGGGAGCGAGAGGGACGGGGAGAGGAGGGGGGGAGGGGGGGGGGAGGGGAGTAGAGGGGGGGAGGGGGAGAGACGGCATAGGAGGGCAGAGGGAGCGGGAAGCGAGGGGGGATGCAGGGGGGCGAGGGATGGGGAAGGGCGGCGGGAGATGGGAGAGGGGAGAGATGGGGGAGGGGAGGGGAGGGTGTGGGGCAGAAGGAGGAGCGAGAAGGGATGACAGAGGGTCGACGATGATAATGATGATGCTGATGACGATGATGATGATGATGATGATGATGATGATGATGATGATGATGATGATGATGATGATGATGATGATGGTGATCATGATCATGATCATGATGATGATGAAGATGATCATGGTCATGATGATGATAAATATTATTATGCTCATGACGATGGTGATGATGATGGTGATGGTGGTGTTGGTGATGGTGATGATGATGGTGATAAAGATGATGGTGATGCAGATGATGGTGATGTTAAGGTGATGCTGGTGTCGATTCTGATACTCATGCTGCCGATGCGGATGCTGATAATGCTGATGCTGATGACGATCATGATATTGATGATTGTGATGGTGATGGTGGTGGGAATGGTAATGATGATGATGCTGATGGTTGTGGTGATGATGGTGATGATTATGTCGATGATGAGGGTGAGGATGAGGATGAGGATATAGATGAAGAAACGGCTGAGGATGAGGACGAGGACGGTGATGCTCATGATGTTTATGATGCTGGTGATAAAGATGTGCGATGCTGGTGGTGATGCTGATACTGGTGATGCTGATGATGGTGATGGTGATGGTGATGGTTTTGATGACAATGATGCTTATGATGATGACGATGATGCTGATGATGCTCAAGATTTTGATGATGATGCATATGATAAACATGCTGATGATGCTGATGCTGATGCTGATGTTAATGATGATGATGGCGATGATGATGCCGACGGTGAGGATGATGATGATGATAATAAGGATGACGATGATTATGATGAGGATTATGCGGATGCTAATTATGATGCTGCTGATAATGCTGGTGATTGATGAGGGTGATGGTGATGGTCATGGTCATGGTGATGTTGATGGTGATTATGCTGCTGATGGTGATGATGGTGATTGTGACGATGATGATGATGATGACGATGATGCTGATGATGATGACGTTGATGATGTGATTGCTGATGATGATGCTGATTATGACGATGATGATGATGATGATGATGAGGAGGATGATGCTCATGATGATGACGATGATGATGCCGATGCTGATAATGATGATGATGATAGTGATGATGAGGAGGAGGAGGAGGACACCAAGGAGGAGGGTGAGGAGGAGGGGAATGAGGAGGAGGAGGCAAGAGAGGCAGGACAAGTGCGTCGTCAGAACTGAGGAGGGTGAGGAGGAGGGTGGTTAGGAGGAGCATCAGGGGGAGCACGACGAGAAGCTGGAGGCTTCTGGATGCTTGAACAGGAAGCAAAACCATGGAACACTAAACATTTCATCCTCGACCCTCGTCCTCGGTGTCGCCGGCCCGCAGATCTGCGGGCTCGACGGCATCGTTTGGAGTGGACTTGTGGTCGGACCGAGGTATAAGAACGAGGCCAGTTCGGGGAGGGTGCCCTAGTGTTCTTCGTGTTTGTTGGATGTTCGTGTGCATCCTGGGAGAGGGTACCCTCGAATGCTCTTCAGCTTGGCTGTCAGAGGGTCTCATGTTCTTGAAGAATGTTCTTCAGTTTCAGACATGCGACGTCCTGATTTGTGTTGCAGAAACCTCCCGTTGTGAGTTTTATCCTGGCACCCTGAGGAGGAGAGGCAGAGGAGGAGGAGGATGTGGAGAAGGAGGTGGAGGAGGAGGAGGAGTTTATTATCATTTTCATCGCAGGGGGGGGGTCCTTAGTTGCTTTCCCAGGTTAGCGTCTCGTTTTGGGTTGTTTTTATTGGCGTTCTTCCTGGGCCCCGAAAGAAACGCAGTGACCAAGCCGTGAGGATTCGGGTTGGCCGCACGGTTTTTTGTCCCCGGGTCGTGCTCCGAGGATCTAGGCCTCTCAGATGGGGTCCGTGCAGATGGGGTCGGATAATCGTGCCGCATCGTCGATGCATTGGCGATGCGGCCCGATGTGGAGGCCGATTTTCTCCGCGCTGGCGTCGCCGATGCATCGCCGATGCATTGTCGATGCGGCGCGGTTTTCCGACCACGTCTGCAGTGGAGACCCATGCCTGGAAACATCCTGCTTGCTTGCTGGGTGCCCTGGGTTTCTCGGGCTTCAGTGGCTTTGCTATGGAAAGCGCGACGCTCCCACACCAGAAACCAACGGACGTCCTGGGGTCTCAGGTTTGGGCTTCTTGTGGAAACCGTGGACTGGCCTCCACTGTGTTCCGACCCCATCGAGGCAGCCTCTGAGGAGGATGTCTGGGGCGACGGGGGCCTCCAGGGCGCCAGCCCCGACAGGATGTCGCGCCGTGAACGGTATCACAGCGGGAGGTGTTTGGTCCTTTTCGGCCTCTCGGGCCTCGCCGGGCCCTGGGACCTTCAAACAACGAGGCCTGGATCACCACGGCGATTGCTAAATGGGTAGGGGCTTATATGCGGATGCCAAGGTGGCGTAGATCAGGTTATGTCATCGCGCAGTACAGAGCCCCGAACCCTAATGGCACGATGAAGACGTGGCCTCGCTGAGGTCCCCGTCTTCGCGTTGGGGATAGTAATTGTGGGCGTCTTGGTCTAATACACCTGCGGAAATCCCTAATGTGTGTTGGCAGTCCTAACTCAGGTCCCCTTCCCAAGGCTTAGGTGTCCTTTTTTGGTTAATCGCTATACATGATTCACAAGTGCTCTAACTGGCTAGGGTGGGTTCGACAACTCCGCGAAGTGGGCGGAGCTCACTTAGACTGGATCCTTACCCCCGCTAGGCCACTTAAGGGCAGTTCAAGTCTACTTATCCGCTGAGTCTGGCCATCTACAAACCACCTTGGTATCCACTTGTAAACCTGCATCTACTTAGCAACCACCGCGGTGATTCAAGTTGAGGATGGAGAACAGGGCCCCAGGGAAAGCGTCGGGACTCGGGAGCCTCGCGGCGGGGGTCCACGCAAACGTGGGCCAGCCAGAGCGCCCGATCTTGCAGGATCCTGCAGGGCCAGGGTCGCATTGACCCGTGCTTGGGCGCAGGATCCTGCAGGATCTTGCAGGAACCTTCGCATTCACCCGGGTTTGGGTGCACGAGCTTGCAGGATGTTGCAGAATTCTGCAAGGCCTGGCTGACCCGGGTCTGGATTGCCCCGGGTCAGAAGATCCCCGGGTGACCGCGTGTGGAAAACATCAGGACGTCGCATGTTTGGTAAGACCGCGCGGTGACTGACCATGCGGTGAGGTCTCCTGGGATTTCGAAGTCGCTGCACGGCCCGTCGCCACCACGGCTCGGGACCCCCCAAGAGGTGGGCCCCTCCTGCCATAGGCCGAGTGCCGCAGAGCAAGACCCCAGCGCGACCCGCACGATCCACGGGAAGGCCGTGGGGCGCCCCGGAAGCACCCCTGGGAGCGACCAGGAGGGCCCCGGCAGGGCCCCAGGGTGCCTTGGACGTGCCCGAGAGCGCTCTCGGAAGGCCCTGGGAAGGCTCTGGGAGCCCGGGAGAGCCCTGGGAGCGCCTTGGGAAGCCTCGGCGGTGTGCGGGAGCGCCCAGGGAGGGCCCCTACCCAGACCCCCGACATGAGTTTTTCACGACCCGACTCGACCCCCAGAGGTCTGGACCCTTTCCCTTGGGACCGGTACTTCATCCTGGGTAGTTTTTTGACGGTCCCGAGGACCGGTAAGGGCCCCCAGAGGCAGAAAACAGCAAAGCAACATCCCGTCGTGCTTTCTCCGTGACTCGAGGAAGTCTGGGTAGGGAAAGCTCTTGGAGCGCTCTGGACGCCCTGGGAGCGCCTGGGATGGCCGTCGGGCCGCTCCGCTCGGGCCGCCTGCGTGCGGGCAGCCCCGGCAGGGGCGCGCGGGGCAGCCTGGGGAGCGGCCCGAGGATCGGGCTCAGCACGCTCGGGGGTCGTCGCCGTGGTGGCCGTCGCCGCCGTGGTGGCAGTCCTTGCCGCCGCCGCCGCCGCCGTCGTGGTCGTCGTCGTCGTCGTCGTCGTCGTCGTCGTCGTCGTCGTCGTCGTCGTCGGCGTCGTCGTCGTCGCCGCCGCCGTCGTCGTCGTCGTCGTCGACGCCGTCGTCGTCGTCGTCGCCGCCGTCGTCGTCGTCGTCGTCGTCGTCCTCGTCGTCGTCGTCGTCGTCGTCGTCGTCGCCGTCGAAGTCGTCGTCGTCGCCGTCGTCTGCACGCTCCCGCTTTCGCGCGCCAGCCGCCACAGACGCACCACAAGACGCACGCGCGCACTCCCGCGCGGGCCTCGCGTGCGTGCCCTAAGGCCCCCCGGGGCTCCACACTGGCCCGCGCTCTGGGCGGGACGCCGCGCTCACCCCAGGAGGAGGAGGAGCAGGAGGAGGAGGAGGAGGAGGAGGAGGAAACGGAAGAGGAGGAGGAGGAGGAGGACGAGGACGAGGAGGTGGAGGTTGAGGAGGTTGAGAGGAGGAGAGGAGGAGGAGGAGGAGGGAGGAGGAGGAGGAGGGGAGGAGAGGGGGGGGAAAGAGGGGGAGGAGGAGTGGGTTGGGAGGGAGGAGGAGGTGGAGGAGCAGGAGGAGGAGGAGGAGAGGAGGAGGGAGGAGGAGGAGGAGGAGGAGGAGGAGGAGGACGAGGAAGACGCTCGTGCTGCCGCCTCCGCTGCGCTGGAGGCCCAGGCCGACGCCGCCGCGCACCGGCCGATGCCGCACGGCCGCGAGGCCCCGCTCGCCCCATGTCGGCCAGCCTTCGCCGCCGGCAGGGCCGGCTGGCTCGCGCGCCGCCGCGGGGGCCCCGCGCCGCGGCGCTGGCTGTGCTCGCGGCGGCGGCTGGCTCCGCCGCGGCGGCAGGACTTCGAAGAAGAAAAAACGACATGACTCACCGAGCGCGTTCAACTCCTCCTCCTCCTCCTCCTCCTCGTCGTCCTCCTCCTCCTCCGTAGCCATTTTGGCTCAAGGTGCCTGCACTCTGGGGGTTCCGCGCCTCCGTGCCTGCAGGGATACCGCTAATCCGCGGCAGGCAAGGCAGTTCTGCCTGGCAGTGCTTTTTGGCGTTCACTGTGGGATTTGGGCCCCCACACCTGCAGTAGCTTCCCCATCTCTCTCGCTTTATGTTGTTGCAGCTGGGATGGCCTCGAATGACGCAGCGAAGAATGTCATCAAGACTGTTCCAAAGACCACTCCTCGCGGTGCTCGTCTTCAGTTTCGCTCTGCTGGCACTGGTGCGTCTTCTCCCGCTGCGGCTTCTGCTGGCTGCGGTCCCGAGATGCACAAGCTTGGCAGCGACTCAGATGAGGATATGTCCGATGAGCAGATCCGCACCATCTGTGCTGGCTTGCCCAAAGAGGAGGTGGCAGCATTGCAGGTTCAGTTCGAGTCCATGGTATCGCCCACGGTTGCGACCACAGTCCACATTGAAGCAAAGTCTATCACGGATGCGTTCACGAAGAACTTTGACGAGTGCCTCAAGATGTGCCAGGATGACGTCCAGAAAATCGGCACCAAGCTCGACGAGCGCATCGCCGCTGCCGTGGCGTCGCGATTTGATGATCTTCGGCGTGAGCTCACGGGACGGACCGGTGATATTCACGGACAGTTGCAGCAGCAGGCCAACCGCGTCAATGGACATGATGAGCTACTTGCACAGATGGTTGCACATATCAAGAAGTCGGAGGAGGCTTTGGTGGTGGCTAACTCGCAGTCGTCGCGCCCAGTTCAAGTTCAATCTACATAGTTCGACAGGGACACGGACGGCACGATCATACGTGTGGCGGCTGGGCAATTGGTTTCTATAGCAGAGGTACTTGCCGCACTTACTCCGTGGTTGTCAGAGTCTGGCCTCGACGCTGAGACGTACGAGGTTCAGCCCGCCGGCCCCCTCTCAAAGCAGTTCGTTCTCAAATTCACGGGCGCTGCTGGCCTTGCTGCCCGCCGCGTGGGCAAGGCGTTGCAGTCGCTCCGTGGTAGTGATGGTGTCTGGCGTCAATTCACCGTGGCAGCCCGTGTCGGCGGGGGGGGAATACGCTTCCATGTGTCTCAAAACAAGAACCCGCGCCAGGTCAAGCTCGATATCTTCGGCCGCAAGACATAGGTGGCGCTGCACTCGGAGTTGCGTGACCACAAAGCCTTCTTCGATCGCGATCGTGGCTGTGTCTCCGTCGGCAGGGGCGCGCCGTGCAAGGTTGAGCCGAAGCCGGGCAAAGAGAAGGCCGACGTCATGTGGAACCAGGCAACGATCCGCAAGCTGGGCTTATCCAAGTCCGACCTCGTCTCGTGGGCCAGCTCGATCTTCGAGCCTGATGCCGAGCCAGAGTGGTCTTTAGCCGTTTTGTGAAGCTACTGCCGAGGTCGACGGCGCAGGTGCTCGGTTGGTGGCATCATTTCTGCGACGTGAAATTGTCGGGCGCTTCTCCAGTATGAGGGGGCTCACGCAGCTGGGAAGCTTGGTTATTTGACTAGGCTGCGCCTTGGCTCCTCTGTTGCTTCGGTTCAAGAGGTGCATCAGAACGAGGCGCAGCTCCGAATCTTCTTGCAACGGATTCTTCATGGGGCCCTGATTGTTTCGAGTTTCTGCGGCGAGGACCGCGAGGGTCGCGTCCGGCGGGGTGTCGCCAAGATCGTCCCAGGGATCTTGGTTCCAGGTAGCCCCACCCCTACTCCTCCTCGGGGCGTCTCCTCGTCTCTCTCTGCGCCCATTCCTGGTCGCGCGCTGCGCGTAGTGATTGCCAGCGAAAACACTGCGATAGTTAGTTGGAGTGTCCGTAATCACGAGCTCGCGGCAGCTCGAGTTCGGGACGCGTGCAATCTCATGTCCAGGGATCGGGCCGAATCAGAAGCTAATCCTGAGGGCTGCAACGGTTATCACAGGTGATGTTACTTTTGCGCCCGAGGAGAAACGAGCTTTGCGCAGCCATGGGAGGTCCGAAGAAATCCTCAGCCCCTGCTCGCACAGGCGCCGAGATGGCGTGACGCACTTGATTCGTTAATTGAGATTTCGCCGGCTGTCGCCACCCATTTCGATAAGCAGGCGGACGTTGTAGCAACTATTGATAGATGTTGATGCTCCTGGCCCAGCCGGACGAATGCGCAAGCGTGCTCGCGCGCCCGAGTTGTGGGCAACCCTGAGGAGCTATCCAGAGGCAAGGTGAGTGACCATGCTGCTCTGGCGGTGTCGTTTCTCTCCCGCGAAGTCTCGAATGAGTTCGATCGGCCCATCCCGAAGCGCATCGCGAAGTCATATATAAGTCTGTTCTCCAGAAATCTATCGCTGCGGAAGAAAGTTATTTGAACAGTATGTGTCCTCCCCGTCGCCTTGAGAGACATAAAATACTCATGCAAGAGGCTGGTCGAGATGCCCGCAATCTCTTGGCTTTCAAGCGTCCGCATGACCCGCGGACGCCGCTGCCCCTGGCACGCGCTCTGGCTCGCGCTGTGTGGCGCCAGGACTGCGCACATGCCGAATGACTGTTGAGCTCGCACGAGAGGGCCCCCGACTCCGTCGAGATTCGCGGCGGCCAGGTGCGCTTGCTCCACCCAGCCCCGTTTCAACGTTGGCCGAACGAAGTGCAACTTAAAGCTGCTGGTCTCGATCGTTGTTCGGCACAAGCTCGTCTCGATCACGCGCAGGATGTAGGCTCGAGGACCGTCTTCGACAGCAACTCAAAGCCATCGATCGTCGAGCTCGGCTTTGGGTTCCGTTTTCCAGGAAAGTTATTATGAGAGCGATCGTGGTGGGTGGGGTGAGGACGGTGGATGCTGCCAATCGTGCAACTGCCCTGACTTCGCATTGGGGCTCGGTCTTTGCTCGAAAACCATGACCTGCGCAGGCTGCCGCTGCTTGCGTCGATCGTTTCGTGAAGCCCCTCAACTTCGATGACTGCCCGCCGCCGTCGCTTGCTGCCCTGGAGAAGGTTGCACTTCGAGTTGGTGATTCTTTTCCTGGAGTGGACCGGCTGTGCTGCGCTGCCTGGCCTGCTCACCCTTCTGGGCTTCGTTTCTGCGCGACGTCCTCTTGTGGGCGCTGTCGGGCAAAGGCCTTGTCTCGTCGGAGAGCGCGACCTTGCAGGCCTTCCTGCTCAATCCAGGGCGAGCTCGCCTCCGACTCGGCCGATGGCGAGTGTGATCGGGAAGCGAATGCAGTTCGAGTTTTGGGGATCCGAAGTGCCAGTATTAAGCTTTTGACTGCGACTGTGAATTACGCCATCCGCAGTCCTCTGGACCGTCTTGTTCCCGGGGACCAGCGCGGCTTCATGAGAGGCCGCAATTGTTGTGTGATTATCCTGGAAGTTGATGCGTTATCCCGCGCGCACTCAGCTCGGCCTGAAGCTGATGATAATTGTCCTGTTCTATATGCCCTTGATTACGGGCATGCGTTCCCTAGCTTGTCTCAAGAGTTTGCAATGCTCGCGCTGGTGAAGATGGGATGCCCGTCAGCGCTGATTCGCCTCATCGCTATCTTATATGACGCCATCCAGGGTGTGATCGCGATCCAGGGTTTCTTGAGACATGCGTTCTGGATCCGTTCAGGCATTATCCAAGGGGATGCGCTGTCGGGGCCCCCGTTCGCCGTTGCCTTGTCGCCCGCGCTGGTTGACCTCCATTGCTGCTTCAAGAGCAAGCGGCTTGGAAACAACCGAGCCTGCGCCGACGACCTTGGCGGAGCCCCCAAGATGCTTAGATGCCTAACCCAGCTCTTCCGCGTCGTGAATATCACCGAGAAGATTGAACACTTGAAACACAAAAAAAACAGACGCAATGTGTTATTGTTCCCGTTTCTGGCAGGTTTACCGCTGAACTCAAGATGAAGACCCAGCAGTTTTTGGACATGTTTACGCTGGCCTGGAGTCAGTTTCGCATTGAAGATAAGTTGTTTTATCCGGGGATCCGGGTGGGCCCTGGAGCTTCTGAAGACGATTCTTGGGCACTTCCGATACCGAAAAATCGTCTCCGTTGCGCTGCTGTTGGTCGTGGGCCGACTCCTGCTTCTTCGCCGGCTGTCTTGTGCAGCGCGCGCTGTACTTCGGTGCTGAGCTATGTGATGCAGTTCTTGCCGATGCCGAGGTCCCTGAAGCAGGTAGAGCTAGGCTGTCCCCCGCAGGTCTGCAGGCTCCCCTTGGAAAATTTTGCGCATGCCGATTGGTTGCATCTCAATGAGTTCCACGGGCCGAACGCGCTCCCTCTAGAGATTACGAGTGCTGCGACGATGGCAAGAATAGCGATGCACACACTGCCAGGACATGCTCGAGTCTTTCGCTGGCTGTGTGCTCAGAATGTTAGCGCGGCGAGTGCCGACGAGCTTCGATTGGCGATGCTGCCAGCTGGTCGACTTTCTCCTGCACGCTGGAAGTCGAAAGCATATGTTCCCTACCTAAGCTCTGCCTAAAAGGGTTTCTTACTCTATTGGCTCAGAGGGCCGGGCAGTGGGAACTGGCCCTGGCGGTTCCCCCAGTATCCGCCCCGCGGTTTCCCCAGTTGCGTCCCCTGGGTTCACCCAGCTTAGCTTAGCTAAGCTTGTCTCCTCTTAGCTTAGCTTAGCTTAGCTTAGTTTAGCTTGGCTTAGCTTAGCTTAGCTTAGCCTAGCCTAGCCTAGCTTATTTTAGCTTAGCTTAGCGTAGCTTAGCATAGCTTAGCTTAGAATAGCTTAACGCAGCGCAGCATAGCGCAGCGCAGCACTAGCACAGCATTGCATAGCATAGCCAAGCATATCATACCATAGCATAGCATAGCACAACTCCGCATAGTACATCCTAGCATCGCATAACATAGCGCAGCATAGCACAGCATAGCATAGCATTGTATAGCATTGTTTAGCATAGCTCTTTGCCGCATCGCATGGCATAACGTATGCATATGTGTCCACAAATTTGCATATATATACATATATATGCATATACAGATATGTCTATATACGCATAACTCTACCATCAATGCACCCGAATAGCGATACAATTGCCCATGTAATGACGAAACGATGGTGAGCCCGTTGGTCTCCCATCAATCGTCTCTGATGTCATGTATGCGTTTACATGCTATGCATGCTGCATATATTGTACATGTTGTGTATGCCGTATACGTGGTATGTATGTTGTGCGTGCTGTATATGTTGTACATGTTGTGCATACGGTATATGTATCATATGCTGTATACGGTGTGTATGTCGTTTTCGAAATTCATTTCAAATTCGCTTCGAGGCCACAGGGAACCCTGCGCGGTTTGGGCGGGCGGTTTGTCCCCCCCTTGTCCCTTCCGGTTTGTGGGTCCCTCCCAGTTCCGGTGCCATTGTGGCTCCAGCGCTTCGCTTTCCAAGTGGCCCCGGAGGGCTCCTCTGATCCGTCTGTTTGGCATCAGAACAACGTAGACGTGATCAGCCTCATCGGGACCCAGAGGTGTTCTGGGACAGCGACGAGGAGAGGTGCCCCGGCGCTGGGACAAATCGTGCCGGCCATGGCCGGTAGAGACGCTTCTGCGTTCTGGAAGTTGATGTACATGTAGGTGTAGATATTGGTGTAGATGTAGATGTAGATGTGAGTGTAGTTGTAGATGTAGATGTAGATGTAGATGTAGATGTAGATGTATATGTAGATGTGGATGCAGGTGTACATGTAGATGTCGCTGTCGGTGTGGATGTGGATGTAGGTATAGATGTAGATGTAGGTATCAAGCGGTACTATTACTACTACGACTACTACTACCACTACTACTACTACTACTACTACTACGACTACTACTACTACTACTACTACTACTACTACCACTACGACTACTACTACTACTACTACTACTACTACTACTACTACTGCTACTGCTACTGCTACTGCTACTGCTACTGCTACTGCTACTACTACTACTACTACTAACCACTACTACTACTACTACTACTACTACTACACTACTACTACTACTACTACTACTACTACTACTACTACTACCACTACTTCTACTTTTTCTACTACTACTACTACTACTACCACCACCACCACTACTACTACTACTACTACCACTACTACTACTACTACTACTACTACTACTACTACTACTACTACTACTACTACTACTACTACTACTAGTACTAGTACTACTACGACTACTACTACTACTACAACCACGACCACTACCACTACCACTACCACCACCACTACTACCACCGCTACTGCTACAACAGCGACGATGAGGAGAAGGAGGAGGACGGCGTTCGCCGTTACTACTAAGATTGCTCTCCTAGGGGCTCCAACTCCTAGGTGGGGTCGCTCTGGGATAATTGAGTATACGGCTGCCGCCTGCCGTGTCTCGTCTCCTGAGCTGAGCTTGGAGGCCGTCCGTGTCTGTAGGATCCCCAGAGTTCCTCTCGAGGCCTGTACGCCCCAGCGGGCCGCGAAGATAGTTTGCGCTCAGTGCTGGCAATCGCACCCTAGGATAAACTTCCAAGGTCTCGCTTGTTCACGCTGTTTCCCTCCAGAGTTCAAGAGGTCGCTCGTGAGGGCTTTGTTTCTGTCCGCCAGGTCTAAAATGAGGCCCCCCCGTCATGGGTTTGGCCCTGGCTCCGCGCGGTGTCTGGCGGATGGTTTACCAGCCATCGTATTCTGCATGCCCGTGGAAAACTCTCGTGTCTCCTCGGCTGTATGAATTTACCTGACTCTTTGAGACATTATTTATGTTGCCCCAGGTTAGGTTGGCCGGTTTCCCAATCCCTCCGCTCGCGTCCTTTATGCCTCGATCCCCCCGATCGTCTTGGGATCCCTGGATACTGCACCGTCCCCATCTTAGCAGAAATATATGTCGCTACGCACGTATCGCCAGCTCCGTCTCCTTCCTCCCGAGGTCCTCCTTCTCCCTGGCGCGGCGCATGACGCCTTTCGAGCAGCCGTTCGGGCCCTCCGCCTTCCTGCGCAGCGGGGGAGGGTAGGTCGGGACGTCGTCGTCGTCGTGCGCTTGCCTCTTTCTCCTCCTCCTCCTCCTCCTCCTTCTTCTTCTTTCACTCCTCCTCACAAAGTGCCTACTCGCCAACGCCCGATAAAGAAATGTCTTCCTCTTATGGAACCCAGCCGTTTGCGGCGGATCCCAGCCATTTGCGAGTAGTTACTTCGGGAGTCGTGGAACCGGCTTGCCCATAATTAAACACAAACTTCCGACGCTGCGCTTGGAGTTCTTGGATCCTCGCCTGGGCCCCGTTGGCGGCGCCTCTGGCGCCGCCCCTGGCGCGCTCCGCGCGCCAGGGAGAGGGCGGTCCGGCGCAGATCCAAGAAATCCACGCGGAGCGCCACCAAAGGTTTTGTTTGTGCCTTGCGTTTCTTCTCCCAGGACTGGCGGTGGGCGGCGCCAGGCCCGGCGGGTCGGTCTCCGCGTCGATCCGATCGATCCGACTCGAGGCTGCTGCGGCTTCGATGTGTTGGCCACGCGACCTCTGAAGTTCAGGTTTAAGTCGGGCCTGTCCCCCTACAGTAGGAATGTTCACAAATACTTCAGTTTGTCAGGGGACGATTCTTCCACCATTTTTGGCTATTTTGGTGTATGTTTCGACGATTCTTAATTTGTCGTCCAAAATCTGCTTGTAGGGGGACATGCCCGACCTAAGCGCAGGTGCGGCCCGATATACTTGCAAGGGGGGGGGGCGCCGGGCCAGCCGAAGGAGAGGGTGCACAGGGAGGGGGGGGTGCAAAATCTGTTTCATGCCGGTGGTTTTGAAGGTTGCTTGAGGGAAGAAATGCCTCCTCCTCTTCCTGCTCGTCCCCCTCTTTCTCCTCCTCCTCCTCCTCCTCCTCCTCCTCCTCCTCTTCCTCCTCCTCTTCTAGCAACAACTCCTCCTCCTCTTCCTCCTCGTCGTCGTCCTCCTCCTCCTCCTCCGGCAAGTGTCGGTTTCGTGACGCAGGCTTCCGTGAGGATTGAGGTGATGCTCGCTTGTTGGGTCCCTTGCGGGGTCCCGAGGTGACCATCTTGGTGCCAACACGGAGCCTGAGACGGCGTTCCTAGGCCATGACCGCTCTGAAGCGCCGTGGGCCAGAGGTCCGTTGTGAGGATGGGCGTGCGCGCGTTTGAACGACGCGAATGGGGAGGAGCCACTACTACTCGATTCGCCACGTGGCAACGCAGCGCGGCGGAACTCTATCCGCCACGTGGCAACGCCTGCGCGGCGAACGAACACGATGATATTATTATTGACGCGTGGCATCGCGGCAGGGATGAGGACATCCAACTCTGGTCTAGTCGCCAAGCGGCAAAGCAGCTGGGCGGATACCATCCTCTGCTCGCCACGTGGCAGGGTCTGGGAGCCGAAAAGGATAGTATTCTGTGCTGCTCGCCGCGTGGCAAGGCAGCGGGGCGAGTCACTTCCTCTTCTACTCCCTCGTCACGTCACAGCGCCTGGGGGCGTGAAGCGGGCCAGTCTGGCAATGCATGCGCGGCGACAGCGGCCTGCGATCGGCGGCCGGGAGGCAGCGACCAGCGGCAGCCGCCGGGGCCTTGAGTTGGCATCCTCGTGGCACAGTTTGGCGCGCTCCTTAAACAGATCGCGCCTCGGGGGCTGGAAGCACATTGTGCTGAACCCTCGTCCAGCGGCGGATGCACGGGCCTCGAGCCGGCGTCCTCGGGCCAATTCTCGCGCGCCCCCCACACGGATCGCGCCTCGGGGGCCAGAGAACAAGTGCTTGACCCTTTAGAGAAACTTTCGAGCCGTGCTCAGCAGCATTCAGTCACAATTGATCCTGAACCCCCGCCCCTGAGGGAGCATCGGCTCACAACATCGCCCACTCATCGCCACTCGGGCCTGCGGGCTCCCCACCTCGACCAGGAGCGCCAATCGGGACCTGTCGCCGATCTGTCGGCGATGCGTCGCCGATGGCAAGCAGGTGTTTGCCCCCCTGCGCTGGTCGCCCCAGCCGTCCCCTTAAATCGAGGCTAGGGGGTCGGGGATCGAGCATCGAAGATCGAGTTTCGGCATTCGGGGATCGAGGATCTGGGTTCGAGTGAGGATCGAGGTTCGAGGATGGAGGATCGAGGCTTGGTATCCGAGGCGCGAGGTTCCTAGGCTCCCGGGGTGTCCTTCCCCTGTTCGGCAGACGTGTGGTGTCTGACACAGTTCGGCCTCTGGGGCCCTGCTTCGGGCCCCAGGGCCAGCCCACCACATGAAGCCGGGATGCCACACCACCAGGATGAACGGGTCGACGCTTCTGAACGCTTCTCCTCCTTCTCCTCCTCCTCCTCCTTCTCCTCCTTCTCCTCCTCCTCCGCCTCCTCCGCCTCCTCCTCCGCCTCCGCCTCCTCCTCCTCGTCCTTCTCCTCCTCCTGTGGGCGGGTTGCTCTGGACGCTATCAGGGCCTCCCTGGAGGAGCTGCTGGGACCACCTCTGGTGACACCAGGGAGGACTGAGCTTCGAGGATTCTAACGGGTTCACTAGATTCATGGGTAGAGGCAAGGAGGTTCGGATCTTGGCGCGAGGATCGAAGCCAATGAATCGAATCGAACATGAAGGTTCGAAGGTCGATGATCGAGGCTCGAGATTCGAGGGTCGAGATTCGAGGATCGAGGCTCGAGGATCGATGCTTGAGATTTGAGGCCCGAGGATTGAGAACTGAGGATCGAGGATCGAAGATTAAGAGGGAGCGGAGTGGCGGACAGGGGCGGGAAAGGGGACGGGGGAGGTACAGGAGCAGGACACCAGCCACGGGAAGGATGGGCGCGAGGAGAAGCACGAAGACGGAGGGGGATACGGATAGTCAGGATCAACATGAGAAGATCTCCCACGCGGTGGGCAGTCGACGAAGGTTCCTGGCCATCTATGCGTGATCCTCCTGTCCTTGGGTGTACCAGGACAGACGTGTGAACTCGGTGCCGCCGAGAATGAGAGAACGAGGATTAGGCTGGGGAGGCGGGGAATGCCCCCCCCCGCGCCAGCGTCGGGCGCCACCCACCACGCCCCCTGCAGTGGAGACCCGTGCCAAGAGTCACCCTGCTTGCCTCCAGGGTGGGCCCTGGGCTTCTTGGGCTCGATGGTTCTGCGATGGGCAGCGTGACGTTCCCACACCAAAGATCATAGTTTGACATCCTGGGGTCTCAGGGTTGGGCCTTCTTGCGGAAGGTGTCTTGTGCACTGGCCTCCACTGCTCTCCTCCGTGATTGTGGAAGGTTTCTTGTGGAAGAGCTCTTGTGCACTGGTTTCCTGATCGGCCTCTTGTGGAAGGTGTCTTGTGGTCGGGCCCCTACTGTAGCCAGGCTGCCCGCACACGGTGAGCATAGGGGCCCGAGCCGGGCGGCCAGGCTCAGGCGAGCGACCTGCCTGTCGGCCGCCTCCTGCGTGCGGAAGCCCGCGCCGCCCAAATTGGGTCGAATCCTCCCCCTTCGTCCTCCGCCTCCTCCTTGCTCCTCCTCCTCCTCCTCCTCCTCCTCCTCCTCCTCCTCCTCCTCCTCCTCCTCCCCCTCATCCTCCTCCTCCCCCTTCCTCCTTCCTCCTCGCTCCTCCTCCTCCTCCTCCTCCTCCTCCTCCTCCTCCTCCTCCTTCTCCTCCTCCTCCCTTCCTCCTCCTCCTCCTCCTCCTCCTCCTCCTCCTCCTCCTCCTCCTCCTCCTCCTCCTCCTCCCCCCTCCCCTCCTCCGCTCCTTCTCCTCCTTCTCCTTCTCCTCCTCCTCCTCCTCCTCCTCATGCTCCTCATCATCCGTCCCTCCTCCTCCTTCTTCTCCTCCTGCTCCTCTTTCTTCCCCGCCGCCTCCTCCTCCTCTCTCCTCCTCCTCCTCCTCCTCCCTCCTCCTCCCTTTCCTCCTCCTCCCTCCTCCTCCTCCCCTGCTCCTCCTCCTCCTCCTCCCTCCTCCTCCTCCCCCCTCCCTCCTCCCCTCCTCCCTCCTCCCTCCTCCCTCCTCCCTCCTCCCTCCTCCCTCCTCCCTCCAGTTAGATTGTGTGTATGAGTTCGGGGTAAGAGGCTTCAGAACCATCAGAGATGTTTGAGATATGTTTGAATGTTATTCGACTATCCGTAAACGCTATGGCTCAAGCCATCAATGGTTCGACAGCTCACGCTGGAAAACTAACTTTGGTAGCGCCGATGTGGTGGCAGGTCCTTTGAGACTCGCCGTCTCTCTGCCCTCAGCTTCGCCGACTGGTTCCGGCACAGCGTCGATTGCGACGAGAGCCTTTACATGTCCCAGCAGCAGCATACGTACGCGAGCAAGCTCATCGTACACATCCTTGCAGCTGCAGTTTCACTCACCCTCATCACGGACACCCGGCACGGCAAGTGGACGCACTTCGCCATGGATTATGGAGATACCTCAGGCAGTGGTGGCGGCATCCCGCTCGACACGTTCAACAAGAACACGCCACCAGGATGGCGGCCAGGCAACGGCAAGTAACCGCTGCGCCGCTACATCCAGCTGCTCAGGCTGTGGTGGAGGCAGACAGATCTGCCAAAGCATGCAGCAGGTCCAGCGATGGCAGGACGTCTCAGAGGTTCGGCGTTCCAGATAGCTATGAAGATGAAACGCGACAGACTGGACCTCAATGTAGGAAAACGACGTGAGATGGAAGGAGACGAATTGCTAGCTCAGCCTTCACATCCCGAATGGCAAGACTCTGAAGGCGTTCAACACCCCGCTGAGCCAGCTGGAGCCTCGGTCCTGATGGACATTCTCGCTCAAGAGTTTGAAGTTCAAGATCAAGATATGTCAATCGTGGCTTTGTCAAGTTTCTTCTCACTCACCAGAGGCCACCTTCCAATGAATGACTTCCTCACGATGTTTCGCCTGTGCTTCGAGGAGGCCTCAGACAAAGGAGGCCTACAGCTCAACAACGTCGGCAAGAGTTTCCTCCTGCTTCAGATGTCAGGCTTATCAGAAAAGATGCGGACCGACCTACGTATGCAGATTCAAGGAGACCTCAATCGTTTCCCCGAGCTCATCGCCTTGATGCAGAGAATGGCAAATCACGAGTATCAAGGCACGACATCTTCGATGAACATACTGGGAGTCGGACTACGACTCTCCTGAGACATGGGCTTCAGATGGATCGTGGATGTGGGTCGGCTACGGCGAGGACGAATGGCAGGACGGAGCGTGGTACGACGACGGCACGGACTGGGAGACCAGTCACGACGAGGAGCACGGCACCTATGACGAGGAGTACGAGGAGTACACCGAGGAGGACTACTACGGAGGAGGTGGCCAAGGCCGTGACAAGGGCCGAGGCCGCGGTGGCAAGAAAGGACGAGGAGGCCGCAAGAGCGGAGGCAAAGCATCATCGTCAGACGGATGCACGACCTGCGGCTCTCCACTGCACTCGAGCGCGGACTGCCCGATCGTCAAGTCTTCGTCGAGTTCACCTTCCAAGACAGGTGACTACTACGGCAAGAAGGGCAAGTACCGCAGCAACAACAAAGGAAAGTATCGCAGCAAGTCCAAGTCTAACAAGAACGGCAAGGACAGCCGCTCAAGTGGCAAAGGCTTCGGCAAGCCGTGGAGAAGTACCAGCAACGGCAAGGGCAAGAGGAACGGCAAGAGCAGTAGCTACTACGAGGACGACTTATCATGGCAATATGACGAATATGATGGAGAGAGCAGTTGGTTCACTCATGGCATTACGACCACATACGATGGAGACGTGACAGCTCCTAAGCCAGAACTCTTCGCCCTGGGCTCGCCATCGGCATCGATTGCAGCTGGACCGAAGATCACGCTTCCAGTCAAGCAGACCGTCCAGCTGGGCACCAAGTTCGACGCGGATGCGGCAGTTGTTACGCCCACCGAGCAGACTACGGTTTTCAATTTCCCCACTGATCAATCAGCAACGACGCCTGATACGTCGTCAGCATCGGGAGCAGCCCGACCTGTGGCAGGGCCGCTGCTCAAGAAGTCGATCTTCATGACGATGGCGACGATCAACATGGCGTACAACTACCCGGCGAGCAACGAGACGTTCGGCACCATGCACGTGGTTCAAGGTGTGGAAAGGCTGGGACTCCTAGTGGATACAGGAGCATCCTCAGCCCTGATGGGCACCGACACACTGCGCGTCTACCTGGGCAAGATCGTCGAGCCGCTGGGCACCATGAACGAGGTGCACTTCGGCCCCTCGACGTCCATGTTCACAGGAGTCGGAGGCAGACCCGAACCGGGACTGCGCGTGTGCACCATGCCTCTCGGAGTTCCTGGGCTGCCAGGAGCTGCATTCTCGACCGACCTGATCGGCAACAAGGGCTCATCATGTCCTGGTTTGATGCCGTTACCAAGTATGGTGGATTGCAGTGCGTTGGTAGCTTGCGGTGTCTATGACAACCGAGACGGCATCATGATCATTTCAGCTCCCGGCAAGCACAAGCAGGATCCTCCTCAAGTGGCATTGGTTCGTATTCTCTACACCGACTCTAATCACTATCTTTTGCCAACGGACAGGTTCGAACAGACTGCACTGGAGATTGCCGAGGAACAACGAGATCTCTGGAAAGTTCTGAAGGCCCACTGGTTTGACAAGTACCAACGAGGAGTATCGGCAAACATCGAGTGGGCATTCAACCTCGACAGGTCGGAGATCGAAGGTCCGCCACCCTCAGGCGTGGAAGCAGCCGTTAGAGACTCACCACGCCGACAAGAGGCTAAAAGGACAGGTGTCGGACTCGTTCAAGATCCTCCGACGCAGCTAGCATCATCAGGCAGTCAGGTGAACCATGACATCCATCAAGCAAAATTGTCGCCGGCAGCAGCTGCATTGTTTGCTCCAGATCGTCAAGGTTTTCAACGTCTGGAGCAGTGCCAGAATCAGACCCTCACCTCTGGCTGGATGAGTGTACCTGGTCAAACCTACTTTCAAGATCTCTGGCCAGAAGGTATGGACGAAAAGGAGAAGCAGCAGCTGGAGAAGTACTACGCATGCGTGCCCGAGGAGTTCTACTATTTCAGCGGCCTGATTGTCATTACGCCAGACAATGCCGAAGAATGGTGTCAGCAGATTTCCAAGCTGATTCCAGAGCTGGACCTCATGGAGAGCATGAGCGGCTCTGGCAGGCTTTCATTATGCGCATACATGTCAGGCCTGACTGTCAGGTTTCCTCGGGACTTCAGATACGGCTGGGATCTTCGCAGGAAGAAGCATCGAGATCTCTTGGATAAGATCGACAAGATCCTGGCCAGTCTGGCAGAATTCTGGTCTCCACGATGCTCACCATGGTCGGCTTCAACAGTCATGAAGGAGGCCACGAAGCTCCAAGCGTCCCGACAAGCAGAGTGTCCCAATTTGCAGTGGGTTGCTCAACGTCTTCGCAAGGTACATCGAGATGGACGAGCCAGTGTTCTGGAGAATCCAAGGAGCTCGGTTATTCTCAAAAGTTCTCCATTGAAGTCGATCGCTCAACTGGGCACGTTCGGACATCTCGATCTGTGTCAGCTTGGGGCATCAGATCCATCAACTGGAGTGCCAGTCAAGAAGCCGACCTTCCTGCACATGATCAACATCACCCTGCAGCGCGTCCTGCACAAGTGTCAGGGCGACTCGAAGTGCAGCGAACACTCAGTACTGCAGGGCTCGTTTCCAGGCACCAGCATCAACAAGACAGCTGCGGCGGCTGTCTATCCATGGCCGATGGTCACGGCCATCGTTCACGACTTGCACGACTACCTGCGGACGGGCGTCGTCAAGGACGGCGACGAATCCTCGCTATTCTACACGCACCTCTGGAACTGCGAGAGGTGCAAGCATGGCTTACACAAGAAGCTGGCCGACGGCACCAACACTCCTACGGCTCCACACACACGTGTGGCAGGATGCAGGTTTGCTCCACACCGCCAGGGTATACCACCTGGAGGTGTACCAGATGCTGGCGGAGGTGCGCAAGCAGCACCGCCAGGGCTTCATCCGCCCTTGCCGGGAGTGGACCCAGCAGCAGCAGCAGCACCACCGCCAGCTGCACCTGCGGCACCACCTGCCGCGCCTGCAGCACCAGCGGCAGCAGCAGATCTTCCTGGACCAGCCCAGGCGGAGGCGCCCGCTGCACCAGCAGCGGCAGCAGCGGCAGCAGCTCCAGCTGCGGCCATCGAGCCTCCTCCAGAGGCAGTGGCACCGCCAACGTACATCGAGCCGAGCTTCGACCTCAAGGCTGCCAAGAAGGTGCTTCGAGATCCGAAGGCCTCAGTCAAGGAGAAGAAGGCCATCATCATGGGCATCCATGTCAAGTTCTGGCATGCGGCTGCCATGGAGCTCAAGAAGATGCTCTACCGGGCTGGCTATGGCAAGGAGGTGCTCGACTTAGTCGATGGCGTGATCGAGTGCTGCAAGGAGCGCAGCCAGTGGAAGCGCAAGTTGACTCGACCGCAGGTGAAGGCCATGTTGTCAGAGCACTTCAACTACAGGGTTCAGACGGACCTCTTCTTCATTTTCGACAAGACCTTCATCGTGCTAGTCGACGAGTGCATTCGCTGGTGTCTGGTGGAAGAGCTTCCGCGCAAGACCGCCGACGAGTGGATGGCCGTGGTCTTCAGGAGCTGGATCAGGTACTTCGGCCCGATGATCTATTTGGTTACCGACCAGGAGGGCGCCATCACGAGCGACCTCGTCGGCAAGTGCTGCGAGAAGTTTGATATCATCCGCGACTTCGGCGGATCGCAAGGACACACAGCCGCGCCCATCGCAGAGAGAAGGATCGAGACCATTCGCACGGGGGCTCAGAAGTTGTGGGCAACAGTCCAGAAGACGGGCCTAAACACGACGCAGAGTCAGGTGGTCTGCGAGACTGCGATGTCCACCAACAGCATGCTCAGCTACAACGGCCACACGCCCAACCAGGGCTTGCTGGGCTATCAGCCCAGAGAGCTGTATGACCCAGAGGTCAAGACGATCTCAGCCGCTGCCGGAGCGCTTGAGACAGCTCCAGACGCCATCGAGGTGGCCATCCGCCTCCGTATGATGGCCAAGGAGGCGATGCTACAGAGCATCGTCGAGGACCGCCTGGCAGTGGCTCAGAACACCAAGATGCAGAAGTTCAAGCCCGAGGACCGCGCGAAGATCATCGATGGCGCAAAGGCAGATCTCTGGCGCGAGCCAGATTCAAAGGACGACCCTGGCTGGCGTGGACCGTGCGAGGTGATTAAGGTTTACCAGGACGGCTCAAGAGCTGTGGTCGACTGGAGAGGCCACATCATGCTGGTGCCCATCAGGCACCTGCGCCCGCATATCGGCTTCGTGTGGCTACTCCACCATAAGTCACACAGCAGCCAGGTCTACGCCACACAGCACGAGTTCAACGACACGGTCAAGCAGATGATGGAGATGGTGGAGACAGGAGCGGCTTTCTCGTCGTACACCTACGGCCTGGTCTACTCGAGTGCGGACCGCAGCTATATCGTCGTGCCGCCCGACCTTGAGCAGA